CCCCCCCCCCCCCGCGCCTCACCTGCCTCTCAGGTTGCGCGGGCACCACAGGGTGGTCTGGGTGTCTCCGGAGATCAGCCTTCCTGGATCCCTTCATTTCCGGCTTGGGGGAGGGTGCTTTCCTCCCCAGCGCGGCACCCCGTGCGCGCAGACAGCCTTCACCCTGGAGCTGGCGCCTGGGCCCCTCTGCCCCGTGGGCCACGATTCCAGAGCTCAGACGTGCCCCAGCCTTCAGGGTGGGTGAACTTGGGCTGGGTGCACCCCTCAGGCCACGGCGGCTGCGGAGGGGCTGGGGGAGGCTCCGCCCACCTGTGGTCAATTGGGGGGGTGGGCGGGGGGCTCCGCATTCGCTGTGCTGTGCTGTCCAGGTCAGCCTTCCGCACAGTGACTGTCCCCGGGCCTTTAAGGGGCATGTTCATTTTCAGACTTTCTTTCTTTTAATCCTCACCCAGGATTTTTTCCCATTGATTTTTAGGCAGAGTGGAAGGGAGGGAGGAGGAGGAGGAGAGAGAGACATCTATGTGAGAGGGACACACTGATTGACCACCTCCTGTGCACACCCAGACCAGCCCAGATTGAGCCTGCAACCTGGCACCTGTGCTTGACTGGGAATCTAACAGCGTGAGCTGTCCGAGGCGACATCCCTGCACACCGGGGTCGCTGCCTGAACGCTGGCTGGTGACCGGGGAGCCCTTGCCCAAGAGACCGAGGGGGAAGGCACCCCCAGCTTGAAGACATGTGGGTGAAGGATGCTCAGGGCAGAGCAAGGTGGTGGCAGACATTTAATGAGAATGGTTCGTGTGCACTGGGTGTGGCCAGAGGTTTTGGTGGGCTGATGTGCACTGTTTCATCTGGTCCTCACCTCTGATCCATGGGGGCCATTATTATTATTGTTGTTGTTTTTAATATTTTTATTGATTTCAGAGAAGAAGGAAGCGATAGAAACATCAATGATGACAGAGAATCATTGATTGGCTGCTTCCAGCCCTGAGACGGGCTCCCCGTTGGGGCCACCCTGACGGTCTGGGGAAAGCTGACTTCTCCCCTCATCTCCTTGGGTCACCTTGGGATCACAGGGGGATCTGTGGGGTCTTCTGAGCTCAGGAGGGCTCAGAGCCGCCTCATGGGCTGCAGCGTTTCTGCTCTCGAGGGCCCCTCCCCCCCAGTGCCCGTGACCGTGGCCTCTGCCCTGCACTGGGCGGTGGGGCCCATCCTGGCATCTCCTCCTGGCTGTGGCCCGATGAGGACATGTCACACCCTCCAGCCGATGCTGGCAGCCCCCAGCCCAGTGCAGGCCAGTGGCCGTGACCGGGTTGTGTCTGTGATGGGGAGGCCGGCTGTACCCGAGGTGTCATGGCCGTGGAGGGGCGAGCGGAGCCTCTAGGTTTGGGGACCGGTTTGGGGCAGTGACACCCCTTCCAGACCCTCCCCTGCGCACTCCTGTGTGGACCAGTCCTCCGCCCACTCACCCTCCGGAGCCATGCTGGGGTTGGTGTTTCCAGAACCTTCCATCTCTGAGCTTTAAAAACCCCTTGAACTGCGGAGAAAGAGCCAGCCGTGGGGAGCGAGGGGCTCACAGGCTGAGGGTGGCCTCTCCCAATGCCCCTGGGCTGAGATAGAAGAAACCTTTCCCAGGACCAGGCACTCACACACGTACCCACACCCGTGTGCCCGGCGTGCGCCTCAGGAGGAACGGGACGACCTGAGGATAAGAACGCATGCTCCGTGCCTCGGCCCCACGGGTCGCTCACAGGCCATGCTCCACGCGTGGGAGGAGCGTGGCTTCCTTGGGGCCGGTGGGAACGCGGGCAGGTCCCTGCAGCCCGACCCAGCTGAGAGGTGCACCGAGTGCCTCTCCTAGGTGTGTGTCTCCTGCCATGTCCAGGGACCTGGCCTGGGGTTTTGAGGACATTCTGCAACGGGGAGCTCCCAGAGGGCCAGCAGTGCCCATGGCCCAGCCCAGGCTGCCGAGGAGGCCACAGCTAGGCTCACGTCACCCTCGCCTGTAGGAGCCCCTGGGCAGAGACCCTGGCAAGTCAGACCCTTTGCCAGTGGGGCCACCTCTCCTGGGCCTGGGCCTCGACTCCCAAGAGAAGTCCATCCTACGTGGTGTCTGCCACCGGCCCCATGGGGGTCCCCCAGGAGGGTCTGAGGCTCATTTCCTTTAGGTCAAATAGCCCCGCCCTCTGTCAGCTCTCCTGGCCTTTCCGGTCTCTGTTGGGGATGAGGTGACAAGGGCAGTGCTCAGGGGCCTGGCCCTGGTCTGGGGGCCACTCACACCGGACCCTCTCCATCACCAGTTCTCCCCACCAGGGTGGACAAAACACGTCTCCCACAGCCCTGGGGCCTGCAGGTCCCCGCCCTCTGTGCTGTGCTGAGGCTCAGGCCCGGCGCTCTCCCTGCCCAGCCAGGCCCACATCCCAGGGGAGGTTCAGGGGCAGATGGCACTTCCGAGAGCGCAGCCGACGTTCCAAATCCCTGAGTTGGGGAGGGGGGCCCCAACCCCTTCCTCTTCAGCTGGCCCTGGCCATGCTGTCCAGCACCAAGAGCCGCCTGCTTCCGACATCTGCTGCCTCATGGGGCCTGGCTCTGACCTGGCCCCAGAGTGTGCGCAGCTCCACAGGGGCCATGCTGCAGGGCCAGAGAGGGCCACGCCATGGTGGGCCACGCGGGCCCAGGGCCCTGGAGGAGGTGCCGTGGCCATGGCCGTGGCCGTGGTGGGGCCAGGGGAGCCTTCAGGTCTTGGGGACTGCTTTGGGGCAGTGACACCCTTCCAGACACTCCCCTGTGCACTCCCATATGGACGGCCCTCCTCCCACTCACTCTCAGTGCTCTCACTTCCGGAGCCATGCTGGAGTTGGTGTTTCCAGAACCTTCCATCTCTGAGCTTTAAAACCCCCTTGAATTGCAGAGAAACAGAGGAATAGGGAACCGGGGGCAACTCCAGGAGCTTCTCCCAGGCTCAGGCAGCCCCAGGTGCCAGCTCTGCTTAGAACCAAGACCCCATCAGCTTCTGGGGGCCTCTTGCCCAAGGGAACAGGGTGGGGCATGTCTGAGGCTGAAAGAGGTGTCTGAGCCCGAGAGGAAGGTCTGGAGGCCCCCTGGAGCCTGGGGGGTCTGCTCCCGTCCTTTCCAGCTCCCAGAGCTGCCCCACATCCCTAGGTTCAGGCCCCTTCCTTGATTTCTAAGTGGCGAGAGCACCTCTCTCTGCTTCACTGTGCTCCCAACACCCCCCAGCTCCTGCCTTGCTGGGTTCCATCTCCCTCTGCCCACCTCCTCCTCTAGGGAAGGTTGTGAAGAATGTCCTCCTGGATGACCCAGGATCAAAAACAAACAAAAAAGAGAAAGTGGAGAAAGGCCCAGTACCTTGAAGATGTGGGACGTTCAGAACCTTCATGCACTTCGGGTGGAGAGGCACCTCGATGAGAACATTGGACGGTGGGCTTGGTAATTCCCACGGATGCTGAGAGCGGCCCTTTCCCTCCTAGAAAGAGGTGGACACAGGACCCTGTCCTCTGGCAGCTCGCACAGTGAGCATCTCCAAAGCAGAGCAGCACAGGCAGCCTCTGTGTCTAACACACACTAACCTAACAAGATGGCTTACGTGTGGTCCCACTAAACCAGGAACAACTTGCTCCTAGAGCATTGTTTGTAACACACTAAAACATACCATGACATATATGTTGTTCCCAACATAGGCCACATAGGACATGCCTGTCATTTATGACATGCATGTCAGTTATGACAGGCATGCAGCACACAACGGGCATGTCAGTTATGACTAACACTTAGGTTGCCAATGACATGCATGCCACCTAAGATGTATTTTGCTTATTACGTCTTTGGAGGCTCATCCTGGTATATAATTTGGAAATTGGACTATTGATCCACTGTCATTCATTCTTCTAGGGACAAGCCATGCTTTCCTGAATGAACAAGTCCTACAACAAGTGCTACAGGGCCTCAGACCAGGAGATTGCATAGGTCTCTCTCCCCCAGGTGACACCGGCCAGGTGGGCTGCTGGGCCAGCCCCCCACATCGCCATGCTGAGCTCAGTGCTCCTGGCAGGTCCCTGCCAAGGAGTAAAGCCAAGCGGCTGCAGACAAGCAAGAGGTGGTCTGAGCCCTGGCCATTTTGGCTGAGTGGCTAGAGCATCGGCCTGCGGACTGAAGGATCCCGGGTTTGATTCCGGTCTAGTGCACTTGCCCAGGTTGTGGGCCTGATCCCCAGTAGGGAGTGTGCAGGTAACAGCGAATCAATGATTCTCTCTGATGATGTTTCTATCTCTCGCTCCCTCTCCCTTTCTCTCTGAAATCAATCAAAATATATTTTAAAAAATAGAATTGGCACTGGCTGGGCAGTTCAGTTGGTTACAGCATCATCCTGATACAGCAAGGTTGCAGGTTTGATCCCCAGTCAGAGCACATACAAGAATCAACCAATGAATGCATAATAAATAGAACAATAAATCAATGTTTCTCTCTCTCTTCCTTCCTCTCTCAAAAAAAAAATCAATAAATAAAAATTAAAAGAGAAACAGGATTGCTTTAAAAGAAATAGAGGTGGTCTGTATTCTCCAGGCCTCTGGGGAGCCTTGAGCCCCACGGGGACCCTTGAGAGTGGGTGACTGAGCGGAGATCTCTGCTTCCTTCCCTCTGATGAATTCTTAGTGAGAGGACCCCCTCTGGCTCCTTTATGCCTCCTTCCTGGCCAAGCGTGGAGCCGTCTTCCTTTCAGGCTTGACCAGGGCTCTGGAGACACAACTGGAGGGAACCATGATCAAGTGGGCGTGGGGACCAGGCAGTAAGACTGAGAGAAAGAGGAGGATGACCCAGAGTGCCCCCAGCTGGTGGTGCCACAGTGGGTGAGGACACAGTGGATGAGGGCACAGTGGGTGAGGACACAGTGGGTGAGGACACAGTGGATGAGGACACAGTGGGTGAGGGCACAGTGGGTGAGGGCACAGTGGATGAGGACACAGTGGGTGAGGGCACAGTGGGTGAGGGCACAGTGGATGAGGACACAGTGGGTGAGGGCACAGTGGGTGAGGGCACAGTGGATGAGGACACAGTGGGTGAGGGCACAGTGGGTGAGGGCACAGTGGATGAGGACACAGTGGGTGAGGGCACAGTGGGTGAGGGCACAGTGGATGAGGACACAGTGGGTGAGGGCACAGTGGGTGAGGGCACAGTGGATGAGGACACAGTGGGTGAGGGCACAGTGGGTGAGGGCACAGTGGATGAGGACACAGTGGGTGAGGGCACAGTGGGTGAGGGCACAGTGGATGAGGACACAGTGGGTGAGGGCACAGTGGGTGAGGGCACAGTGGATGAGGACACAGTGGGTGAGGGCACAGTGGGTGAGGGCACAGTGGATGAGGACACAGTGGGTGAGGGCACAGTGGGTGAGGGCACAGTGGATGAGGACACAGTGGGTGAGGGCACAGTGGGTGAGGGCACAGTGGATGAGGACACAGTGGGTGAGGGCACAGTGGGTGAGGGCACAGTGGATGAGGACACAGTGGGTGAGGGCACAGTGGGTGAGGGCACAGTGGATGAGGACACAGTGGGTGAGGGCACAGTGGGTGAGGACACAGGGGGTGAGGCACCAGTTGGTGAGGACACAGTGGGTGAGGCACCAGTGGCTCTGCAGGTTCTGTGCTAGGTGACCTCCTGCCCATGCCTGTCACTGCAGAGTGGAAACACCCTGCTCTTTGAGGCCTGGATCCAAGGAACTTCGTGTCAGTGGCAACAGGTTAAACACAGCTCCAAAAGATTCATTATTTTATATTTATTTATTTCTAGAGGCCCATTGGGCACGAAATCGAAATCGTGCACGAGTAGCTCACTTCTGCTTGCCTCAGCTGGCCGTCCTGTCCATTGCCCCGTCCTCCGCCGCTTATAGCCCTCCGCCGCTAGTAGCTCAATGCCCCGCCCTGCCCACCACAAGAGCCGCGGCTTGTTTGGTCATGATAATGTGATGGTGTGACGGCCAAGGGCCTTTTATTAATATACATTTTTAAAATCCTCACTCGAGGATATTTCACCATTGATTTTTTAGAGAGAGTGAAGAGAGAGGGAAAGGCTGCGAGAAACATCGATGTGAGAGAAACACATAGATTGGTTGCCTCCTACACCAGCCCTGACCAGGCCCCGAGCTGGGGGGGCTGTTGCAACCAAGGGACATGCCCTTGACCATAATCAAACCTGAGACCCTTCAGTTTGCAGGCCAAAGCTCTATCCACTGAGCAAACCAGCCAGGGCTATTTTATTTTTTATGATGAAGAGGAAACAAACTTGTAAATGAAACCCTTCTTTGGCCAATCCCTGCACATGTCTTTGGGGCTGCATTCTTAAGTTTAGTGAGTCCTGAGTTTAGTCAGTCCAGTAGTTCTGAGTGTCCCCTGGTGTCCTGAGTGCCCCCCTGCAGCCCAGCCCTGCTGCCTCCCTCAGGGAGGTTTGTGTCTGGGCTCACACTGACTTCCCCTCACTGTGTGTCTTGCACAGTAATACACGGCCATGTCCTCGGCTGTCAGGCTGTTCATTTGCAGATACAGCGTGTTCTTGGTGTTGTCCCTGGAGATGGTGAATCGGCCCTTGACAGCGTTGGCATAGTATATGCTACCACCATAATCAGTAATGAATGAGACCCACTCCAGGCCCTTCCCTGGAGCCTGGCGGACCCAGCCCATCCAGTAGCTACTGAAGGTGAATCCAGAGGCTGCACAGGAGAGTCTCAGAGACCCCCCAGGCTGCACCAAGCCTCCCCCAGACTCCACCAGCTGCACCTCACACTGGACACCTGCAAACACAGAGACACAAGGTGGACTTAGAATCACATGGAAGCAAAAACAGGCACAGGCACAGGTCTCAGCGCTCCCCTCTCCTGAGAATGACCTTGAAAAATGATCAGGAGGAAAACGCAGCCTGGCACCAAGTCCATGGTGGAGCCACTGGGGTCCTGTCTCAGGCACGTGGGTTCTGGGTGTCTCCCCAGCATGCCGGGCAGGGCCTCTTTTATGAGCAGGAGGAGAGCCCCATTTGCATGGGGTCTGAATATAAGGGTGCAGCTGGGACCCTGGGCTGCATGCCTGACTTTGTCATCCTAGGGGTGACCCCAGATGGGAAAGGACTCAAGAATCCTGGCCGCAAGGGGTCCCGTCCTGACCCACTGTTGGGGTCAACCCCAGCAGGTCCAGGGGTTCCCAAAGGTGTGGATGGAGTTGGCAAAGAAGGAATGACACGGAGACAGCGTTCAATTGATCAGCAGTCTAGCCAGGTTCTCTCTTTAGTCTCCTGTTACATCTGTATTTATACCATTTGATTTTAAGCTTATCCTTTCTATTCCAAAGGTTTAGGGCGTTGGTTATCTCCATTCCAAGGTCACTACTCTACTGTTCTGTTAAGCTACAAGAAAGTAACTGAAGGAGATTATCCTAAGTAAAGATTATGTACTTAAGTGTGATTGTTCATAGTGAAGGTGATTAAATACCTGCCTGGTACTTAGTTAAGGGGTTTTACTGATTTATTACCTTCTTTAGTCCTGTTAATTCCTTACTCCAGGGAAAAATCCCCACCTGGGGAAACAACCTTTCTCGGAGAGGTGACCCTGGTTAGAACACATAGCGCTAAGAAGGGGAGCAAACATTAAGAACAGTATGCCATAAACGCCAGGTCCCTTGAAACATATGCTGTGCAGATGTTTTTTCCCTGCAGCGACTGTGTCAAGCAGCAAGGATGGACAGGCTTCCCGCAACCCACCCTCCCTCCTCCTTTCCTGAGACCCGGTCACCCTGACCCTATTCCTTTGGGGGAAGCTCCAGGATTGAGAGTCCTCCATCCTTGGGGTTTTGATGAGGACCCAGGGGTGCTGCCCCAGTAGGTACTGTGGATGGGGCTTCCTCTCGCTCTCCTTCACCCTCCATGGGCCATGTTGCCTTTCTGGAGTTTGGGAATGAGAACTTGCATTGGAATGATGCGTTTATTTTGAGACTAAAAATTGTCTCCATTATTTTTCACAATCAGCTCTTCCATAAACCTCTCCCGTGAATGTGTGATGAGGCAGGATACGCTGGGCTGGACGTTGTGGCCGCAGCCTCCGTCGCAAAACTGCTGTCCCTGTGCCAAGCACGCAGCTGCCTTCCCGAAACCACACAATTCACTCAACTTCCCTGCTGTCCATGTGCAAAAGTCCTGTTTCCCAGCCTCTCAAATTGGGAGAAGTTCCATCATTCACAAAAGGAACCCTTGCTGGTGCTGCTCAGTGGTTGGAGTGTCGGTCAGGGAACCAAAAGTCTCGGGTTCAATTCCTGGTCAAGGGAATATACCTGGGTTGCAGGTTCACTCCCAGCCCCTGCTCAGGGGCAGTGGGGAGGCAACTAATCCATGCGCCTCTCTCACATCGATGTTTCCTCTCCACCCCCCCTCTTCCACTCTCTCTCTGAAAAGCAACGGAAAAAATATCCTTGGATGAAAATAAAAAAATAAAAAAGGAACATGTTGGCTCTTGGAAGCAAAACCCTGGGTAGAAATTGAGGCACCAAGTCGTCCTTGGGGGCAGGTGGGGCCCTCCCTTCTCGGTGGCAGAGGGGCCACCTGCAGGTCAGTCCTCAGCTCTTCTTCTGGGGGCAGCCCCGTCCCACAGCCTCTCCCTCTGCCCCATGCAGCAAAGGCCCCGGCCAGCTCAGCTGGACTTGCTGGGGATGAGGCCCCCACTCCCCCCTCCCTCTGCCTGCAGCAAAGGCCCCGGCCAGCTCAGCTGGACTTGCTGGGGATGAGGCCCCCACTCCCCCCACTCGCTTTGCCCCAAGAGGAGACCATGCCCACCCCAGGTCTGAGCGAGGTCAGCTACCCCAAAGCCAGGGGACCGAGTGCCATTTCCTGAGGGAAACCACGGCCCTGGTGTGGAGAGGGGAGACCTGCCCTGTGGACACATTATGAGCCCATTGCACAGCTGCACTAAGCAAGGCTCAGCCATGAACACCATCAGCCGCCCACACCGTGCTGATGGATGAGCTGTGCAGGGCGGCTGCCTCATCCCAAAGCCCTGCTCTCTGCTCAGCCTCAGACCCTGCTCGCACCTCCCCAGGCTGCTGGTTCAGAGACGTTGGGTCCTGGTTTAAAAGAAACACAGAGATGAGGGGTTTTCAGGCCTGAGAGGAGGAGGGGGTGGGAGTCAGTGTGCAGTGGGGGCCAGGCTTCTCTAGGCTGCAATCAAAATGTTGTGGAAGTGGGCACAGGAGGTGATGGCCGCACAGCACAGCAAAGGTGCCACATGCCACTGACTGTGCACTTTGTGGAAAAAACAAGGTAGGCACGTGCCCAGGGACTGACAGTCACCTCACAGGGTGATTTGGTCAGAATTCCCTAACTGGGCCGTTATGGGGGAGTCAGCCCCAGGCCTTAACTTTTTAGTAAAAGGCTTCTCTTTGCCTAAAGCCAGTCCTGCCCATAGTTCTTGAGCATCGAGGTCAACACTTCTTTAAAACAAGCCCTAACCGCCCTCAGGAGAGCACTCTTG